TCAATTGATGCAGTTGGTGACATGAACAAAGACTAATACAAATCCTTAGAACAGTATTTTATGTATCATATCAAAACAAGCACACTCACACTTATGAACATTTGTTAAATTATTTTTTAACATGAAATTAGTTTCTTATTCCATTCCATAAAATGCAGTGAAGTATTTGTTTTCTCATTTACAGTGTACCAAATATAGGCTACTTTTTAAACTTGTGTCCATACAATTTAGTTTAATCCAAAATTGTACTTATTAAAGGAACACTTCATGCTTGTGTGTGTGGTCTTAGATTCCTATTCATTTTGTAAATACAGCCTAACAGTTTAAGAACAATTACACCAGGATAGATGAAAAACGATCCACAAATACAAGTTTATTTCAGCTGTTGTATTTAAATGAAAACAACTAACAACAGACACAGTTTTAAAGCATTGCAAGCTACAGCACAACGAACTGAAATCAAAGTAAGTTACAATAGCTTAAGTGTGCTGAATGTCTGCAATCATTCATTCAGTGACGACTGCACAAAACGTGCAAACTAATGAAAACATTATAAACTGTTACAAAATGATGAACAAATGTAGTTTAGGCATAGGTTTGTGCAACGCTGTAAAATATTTACCTTTTTTAAATACAAGGAGCGTGAACTGAAATTCTCAGTTCCACTTGGTTCCACGCGCATGTCCGGGAAACTCATGAATATTCATGTATGCCCCGCCCACTGAAACCAAAAATCTCGGAAACCAAAAATCTCGTAACACCGGCTAACGCTAATATAATGAGCATTAGAATGCATTTTGTTCAAAATGATTTTTTTAACTATTTAATGCTCCTATAACTTTTATTACTGTAAAAAACAGGAGGACATAATGGTATTTACTATTTTTACACACCAGAGGCTTTTAAATGAACTGTGTAACCAAAATATGCGTGTTAGAGAATGTACAAATGTATGTTAACAGTGTTTGTCATATCAGTCCGTCAGAAAAAGTTTTTTTTTTTAGTTAGTTGTAATTCTTGGCTGAATATCTCTAGCAGGTTTTAAAAGCCCTTTAAACTGAAATATGAACACAGTTTGGATTAAATAAAAGTACAGTCTGTATAATTCAATAACCAGACAAGAAACCAATATAAAGAGGTGGTACTGGTGCTGGCCTCTTTATTCCACGTGGAACAATCATCATATACAAATTACCACACCACTCCTTAGCAAATGCACTTGACTTTATACAATCCATTACTGCCACCTAGTGGACTAAACATCCCACTCATTACATCCCTTTTCCTTAAATAAATAACACGGTACTAAAGTTCCTTGAATAAATAACATTACCTACTAAACCGTTCACACTAAACACTAGTCCAACACCAAAACACTCCATTGCTCCATTTCACCCTTTACAACACATTCATTTTTCAATACCAAGATTATTTCTCTTTTCTTTCATTTTTTTTTTTTTTTTTTTACAAGTCCAGTCTAACAGGGGGTTTTCTAACATGATTAGATCTTCGTAAGATTAGATTGTCAGCCTTTGGTATAGATGAAACCAGTTCAGGGGACTGTTCAAAGAGCTGAACCTCAGAAGGAGACTCGGCAACAGGAAGAGACACAGAGGGCATTTCTGGAGAAGATTTCTCAACTTCATGAGAAGTTAGCCCAAACACTCCATTGCTCCATTTCACCCTTTACAACACATTCATTTTTCAATACCAAGATTTTTTCTTTTTTTTTTCTTTTTTTTTTTTTTTTTTACAAGTCCAGTCTAACAGGTGGTTTTCTAACATGATTAGATCTTCGTAAGATTAGATTGTCAGCCTTTGGTATAGATGAAACCAGTTCAGGGGACTGTTCAAAGAGCTGAACCTCAGAAGGAGACTCGGCAACAGGAAGAGACACAGAGGGCATTTCTGGAGAAGATTTCTCAACTTCATGAGAAGTTAGCCCATCCAAAGGAGACGGTTCTATATTTGACTTACAGATTTTTGCAGACTTCAACAAACTCCTCCGATTTCTCCTTAGCACTTGGCCATCCTTTGTTTGAATAAGATATGACCTTGGATTTACTTCTTTTAGAACAACAGCTTTCTTTCGCCATCCTGTTGGCTCCTCAACCCTAACCACATCTTGCTCAGAGAGAGGTATCAGTTGCCGAGATCCCTTATCATAAAATTCTTTCTGTTTCCTTTTCTGATGTTGCATCTCTTTCAATGTCAAACTTTTGTTTTCTCTTTTAAGAGACAACTTTGGCAAAGTGTCATGCAGTTTACGATTTATCACTAGTTCGGCAGGAGATAACCCACAACCAAGTGGGGAGGAACGATAACTCAACAATGCCAGATATTCATCCGAATTGCTTGTAGCTGCTTTTTTCAACAGTCTTTTTACAATTTGCACCCCCTTTTCTGCTTTTCCATTTGCCTTTGGATAAAGGGGGCTCGACGTTGTATGCTTAAAGCCATTACACTCAGTTCTGCCCTCATTGGAAAATAGTGTGAGCACTTGCCTTTAATTCATCCTTGTTGAAGAAGAATAATCACTCTGCAATTCAACATCCTTAGTCGTTTCCTCCACAATAAGTTTTAACATCTCATCTGAGAATGGTTAAGATAATCACTGTACTCGCATGTCCTTCCACTTCTTCACTGAGGTGACTGCTCTCTGACATTGGTGCTCGTGACAGTGCATCAGCCACAATGATATGCTTCCCAGGTGTATACACTAGATTTAAATCATATCTTTGCAATTTCATCATCATGCGTTGAATTCTGGGTGACATATCATTTAAGTTCTTTTGAATTATCGATATTAATGGTTTATGATCTGTCTCTACTGTAAAAGTAGGTAATCCATAAACATATCCATGAAATTTCTCACAGCCAAATAGTACCCCCAAAGTCTCCTTTTCAATTTGGGAGTACCTTTTTTCAGTTTCCGTCAGGGATCGAGAAGCATAGGCCACAGGTTTCCAGGAATCTCCACCAGCCTGAAGAAGCACAGCTCCTAGTCCATCCTGAGAGGCATCTGTAGAGATCTTAATTGGACGAGTGTAATCAAAAAAATCAAGAACCGGTTCCATAGTCAGAATCTCTTTTAACCTCTTCCATTCTTGATCATGTATGAAAGACCACACAAACTGTCATTTTGTAACAATGCTCTCATATGTGTGGTTTTAGCAGATAGATTTGGCAGAAATTTTCCTAGGAAATTTACCATACCTAAGGCACGTAAAACTCCCTTCTTGTCATTAGGTGGAGGCATTTCCAAGAGGGCTTGTACTTTAGCTGGATCTGGTTCCACACCTTTTGCAGACAGCTTGTTACCTAAGAAGGTTATCTCTGTGACTCCAAACAGACACTTTTTCTTGTTCAACTTTAAATCATGTGCTCGAATTCTTTCCATCAGTTTTAATAGTCGCTGATCATGTTGTTCAAGAGTGGACCCCCACACCACAAGATCATCAATATATACACGAACATCTTCAAGTCTTTCAATAAGTGTTTCCATTGCTGACTTAATCCCAAATGGAAGACGAAAAAAATAGTATCTTCCAAAAGGAGTATTAAATGTGCAATATTTACTACTCTCAGAATTCAATCAGATTTGCCAGGAACCCTGGGACGCATCTAATTTACAAAAAAATAGAGCACCTGACATTTCACTAAGAATCTCTTCACGTGTGGGTATCTGATAGTGTTCTCGTTTGATGTTATGATTAGGCCCTTTCGCACCGCTTTAGTTCCAGAACTAAACGTACGGTACTAAAGTACTGGGACGATTTTGCGCAAACTATTTTCCAGTACTATTTATAGGGTTGCATTCGCACCGAGAGTATGTACTAAGAAGTGATGTAAGCTGGTCGACAGCGACGTCATTTGTGCGTGGCATTCAACAACAGAAACGAAGAACAACATTACATTATTAGGAGGATGGAGGACGCTGTGATCGGAGCTGTGTGTTTGTTGTGTCTCGCGGGTTTCACAGTGGATATGGAAAGTCTAGGTATACGTAAAGCGATTGAAAGAACGGAAAGGAGGACTAAGAATCTCCAACAACAACTGGCAGTGCTACATTTGCTACAAGTGCCTGCACTTAAGCGTCCGTCCATCTATCGCTGTTCTCCATACATGCGAAATAAGTTGACATGCTTACAGTATGTTTACACGGTGTTTTAAATCATGGCGGGTGAGGGCGTTTTCATACGCGTTTGGCCAATCAGTGTCTACTTGCGTCACGATTAGTACCAGTTGTGCTGGTTAGACCCTGCTCCGGAGTAGGAGCTAATTTGGTTCTCGAAAAAGGCAGTCCGGTACTAAAATCGCTCCCAGTTCCGGCGGTGCGAACACGCCGAAAAGTGGGTAGTTCCACAATTAGTTCTGGTACTATGAAAAGGTTCCTGCGGTGCGAAAGGCCCTATAAAAATCTTTAGGATCTAGTCACACTCTTAATTCACCATTAGGTTTTTTCACACACGTGATGGAGTTTACCCAATCAGTTGGCTGTTCCATCCTTTGAATGACTCCTAACTGAGTCATACGATCCAATTCTTGCTTCGAGGATTCTCGCAGAGGGACAGGAACACGCCGAGGAGCATGTATGACAGGTGTCGCGTCATCCTTCAGTTGTATTTTGTAAGTATATGGAAGTGTTCCTTGACCTTCAAAAACATCTGGAAACTGATTAACAATGTCAGTAACACAGTCACAAATAGTCTGAACGACTACATTTTCTTTGTTAACTTGATACACTCGTTTAACCAATTGAAGGTCTTCACATGCTCTATCTCCAAGAAGAGATTCATGGCCATTGGGAACCACAACAAACATTAAATTATGTGTCTTTCCTTTGACTTGTATCTTCAGTCTACAAATTCCTTGTGTTTCAATTGGTTGTCCATTATAGGTTTTAAGGGGAACTGTGCGTTTTTGAATTAGGGTTTTTTCTTTCAATGCTTTCACATCTCTGATGTTAATGAAGTAGAACTTAGCACCAGTGTCTAACGTAAAAGGTACTATTGTCCCATTAGCCACAAGAGCAACAATCCACTTAGAGGACTGCACAGAATCCTCAATAGACACACCTTTTGCCTCGGCCAGAGTTGTATCCTCTTCAGAAACCATCTGCACGTAAAAGGAATCACTCAAGGTATCACTCTCATCTGTATCCTCCACTACATGTACTCTGTTCCATTTTAAATTCTTTTGACAAGCACATTTTTGCAAAGTGGTTCAGACCATTACATTTAGAACACCGTTTACCAAATGCTGGACACTGTCTGAACTTATGTTTAATCCCACAGCGTTTACAAAGAAATGTTTCTTAGTGCTTTTAAAGCTTCTTGCATTACCTCGTTTCTTGTCTCTGAAAGATATGGCATCGATGGCTGCGGCTGCATTCGGAGAGGACATCGCTGAAGAAACATCAAACTGCATCACTTGCTGTCTCGCTAATTCGCTGGACTGGCACAATTCAACAGCATGATCCAAGGTGAGTTCAGACTCTCGTAGCAATCTTTCTCGCACTTTCTTATCACATATGCCAAAAACAATCTGATCACGAATCATGGAATCTCTTAATTCATTAAAAGCACAGGTTTTTGCCTTTATCTTAAGGTCTAAAATCTCTCCTTCTTGCTGCATTCGCGTTCGAAATACATATCGCTCATATGTCTCATTCTTCTTTGACAAGCAATGAGCATCAAATTTTTCCAATACCTTATCCAGTTTCTTCTTATCTGCCTCATCTTCAAAATTAAAGGTGTTGTATACTTCCACAGCGTCTACTCCAGCAATAGTAAGTAACATAGCAATCTTCCTTTCATCTGCAGCTTCTGCTTGGCCAATAGCTAAAACATACAGCGTAAACTGTTGTTTGAAAGTCCGCCAATTTGCGTCAACATTTCCACACAACTTCAAAGAGCCCGGTGGTTTAATTGCGTCCATGGCGTTCTTCAAACCCCACTCCTGGTACCATGTATTATTCAATAACTAGACAAGAAACCAATATAAAGAGGTAGTACTGGTGGTACTAGTGCTGGCCTCTTTATTCCACGTGGAACAATCATCATATACAAATTACCACACCACTCCTTAGCAAATGCACTTGACTTTATACAATCCATTACTGCCACTTAGTGGACTAAACATCCCACTCATTACACAGTCAAATTTTATCTCCTGTATAGACTACTGTACAATGACTTAATGTTTTCTAACGTGAGTTAGATCTAGTAACATCTTACAGTGAGTGAACAATATATTTTTTAAAACATGCATTAATGTTTGTGAATGTTATTTAATACAAACACTTGATCATTCATGCTGGTTCATTGTGCATTAAATAATTTTAACAGATTGAACTTTGAAATTAACCCTAAGAAGAGTAATTGCCATATAACTAGGTTATAACACATTATTGTTAGGTCATGTTATCTAACAAATACAACCTTATTGTAAAGTGTTTTAATACTACAGTTTCCATCTATTTGATATACACTTAATATTTGTAATTTTATCAATTTATTATAAAAGCTGAGGTTTGTTATTTCCTGAAAAGTTATATTTTAGCTGGTGTCAATGATCTAATGTTGCATTTGGTCAGACTCAGCCCACTGCTTTACTGAAGTATATTATATTTTCCTTTTACAGCTGCAGACTGAGGAAGATCCTGAAACACACCAGCAAACCCTAAAACAGACAACAGTTTACAAATGTTTTTCAGTGGCAGCAGAACTATGACTAAACTTTTGGGTGAAACTTGTTTACTTTTTTCATACTTTTATTACTTGTGGAAAAACTTGAAACAATTTTAAATAAGTATAAAGAATGGCATTGGTTTTGTACATTTAATTTTTGTTTAACGTTATTAATAAAAATGTTGTTCAATTAGCATGTTTTTGTGTTTTGCTTTGGTACCGAAATTGGTACCGAGAACC